CGGCAGTTGAAGGCTCCAGACACAAGGCCTGGTGATGTCTTGGACCCGGGCTCCACCTCCTCAACTGGGCCGAGGAGCAGTATCGGGGGGGAGGGGGTGGAGCTGAGCCGGCCTGCGGGAATGCCGGCCGGCGCCAACTTGGCCCCCAGGAGCAGGGGCCACAGGGGAGGCCCCAGATGAAGACAGGCCGCGGGGAGGGGGGGACCCACCTGGGGACCCACCCCAGCAGCCATCCCCAGGGGAGAGGAGTCAGGCAGCCATCCCCAGGGGAGAGGAGTCAGCAGCCATCCCCAGGGGAGAGGAAAGCAGGGGCCACAGGAAAAGGCCCCAGATGGAGACAGGCCACGGGGGGGGAGCACCCACACCGGCAGCATCCAGGGGAGAGGAGTCAGGCAGCCACCCATGGGAGAGGGGAGCAGGGGTCACAGATAAGGCCCCAGATGGAGACAGGCCGCGGGGGGGAGCACCCACAACGGCAGCCACCCAGGGGAGAGGGGAGCACCTGAATCAGGAGTTGCCGGCCACCATCCACGCTGCAGCAGCTCTGGAGGGAGCCAGAAAGCCTCACCCTCCATGCCTCAAGCTGTGTAAATCCAGGCCCAGGCAAACAGGAGCAGCAGGACAGGAAGCTGTTTGCTGGCCCGAATCCCAAGTGGCACTGAGGTAAGACCTCCCCCACACTAACTTACACAGAACATAATCCCACCCACACACTCTTGCCCAACCAATCCCATGCATGTATCCCCACACTCCTACATGTGCCCTTGTCCGCTTAGCTGTGCTATCACCCCAGGGCCTAATGTGACAAAGTGACTGCAGGGTATAAATCAGAGCTAAGAACACAGCAATGACACTCTGAGTGCTGAGCACAAGAGGTTGGCACAGAGGATTTAAGTAGGTAGGAGGGCTGTAACCTACCTGTAATGTGTTCCTGGGATCCTTATAATAAATGGGGATGTATATATAATGGAAGCCATTATTACTTACATAGTTACATAGCTAAAAAGAGAATTGAGTCCATCAAGTTCAGCCTTCCTCACATTTGTTTTTTGCTGTTGATCCAAAAGAAGGCAAAAAACCCCAGTTTGAAGCACAATTTTGCAACAAGCTAGGAAACAAAAATTCCTTCTTGACCCCAGAATGGCAGTCAGATTTATCCTTGGATCAAGCAGTTATTACCCTACATTGAAAGATTATATCCTTGCTCCACTATAAGACATTTTTTATTGTGTGTCTAATTCAGACATGGGTGCTTTGTGCTGCATTCTGAGCTAGACAGTTTGTGATCTGCATTTTTTAAATTTAACTTTACTCAATATCTGAACATAATGATTGTTTTCTAATACAGGAGACTACAAATTTACTAATAAGCATTTTGAAAGACATTAGAAATAACAGTTACCTCAGGTCCAGGAAGGTTTTAAAAGCCCTTAGTAAGAAGAATGTCAGTGACCTGGTTCTGATGCTTGGAACCGGGGTGAGCGCAGCTGTAGCCCCATATGTCCCTGCGCTCCGTTCATGGCAGTGTTGCACTGAAGCTGTTATAGATGTTGCAGACCAGTTTGAGGTATTGCACCCTGGGGACATTGTGGAATTCAGAAAAAGGGTGTAGCTTGAGCAAGATTTACAAGTTGTCGCAAATGATCTGATCAGGAAACTGTCACCACGAACCGGTGACATCAAACCCAGTTTTTTTCCAAGATTGCCTAATAGAAGTATTTGATGAGCTAGAAAGTCATATTCAGAACCCCACCGCTCACGAGTATATCATTAGTCTAATGGACAAAGGGGCGATGGTGCTCACTACAAACTATGATAAACTGCTGGAGCTATATGGGCAGAACATGGGAAAACCCATGGAATCGATAAACCTGAATTACAATGTGAAGGTTTTGCAGTGGGTACAAAGCCGCATCAAGTATGTTGTTTTGCATATCCATGGATTGTACACGGATCCCTGTGCCATGATTCTGGATCCATGTGGAAATAAAGATGTTGCACAGGACTCTGAACTGCTGGATGAGCTTCGGAACTTGTACTGCAAAAAATCTTTTGTTTTTCTTGGCTGTGGAGAGACTCTGTGGGATCCAATATTCCAATCTCTTTTCTTCTACACTGTGCAGGATAAACTCAATATGCAACATTATATGCTAGTATGTAAGGAGAATGCAGAAACCTTCCATAAGCTTTAGGCCGATATGCTGGTTATTGGCATCAAACTTATATCATATGGAGAGTCATTCACTAACTTTCCAACATATATGAAAGGGTTGTCTGCACTCATAGGCAAACAGAGGGATGAAGATATCGCACATGGGGAAATTTAAATAATCTGTGAGCCAGTTGCTAACACCTCACAAACTCCCCAAAAGGGGAAGCTTGAAGAAAACACAGGAAGTGGGAAAGCAGCTAAGTTAAAGTCCTAACATAAGAGAAACCGGACACTTATTACTAAATCAATAAAGGGCTTCTGAATTTTTAAATAACTGTGTCTAACCAAAGTGTTATTTTGTACCAAACGTAATGAATATGATTACGAGTTCTTTAGATTTTTTGAGGACTGGATGAGTAGAGGCAAATGTTTATGCTCTGTATCTCCATGGGAATAACATCTCTGTATCTCTATGGGAATAACATAAACCACTTTCAGAAACAAATATCCATACACTGACATTACAGGTTACTGAGCAGAAAGAACACTGAGCCTTGTCTACCTCGGGAAGACATTTTTTACCAGCTTTGTACATTTATCTTCTACGTATAAAAATACAATGGAATAAATGGGTAACATGTGGAAGTAAAACATGTCACATGTGTGCTTACTTCTAAGGCACACTTTGGTTTAAACCCTTTCAGTTGACAATATGCCCATGTACACAGTGTCATATATAAATATTTCTGTGTTATATAGCTTTCATAGATAGATTTGGTCAGGATATGTTGCTCTCTTGTTGCATGGGCCTTGTGTTTCTTTCTCCATTTGAGTTCCCTTTTTCCCAAAACATTCAAATCCTGCATGCAGTTAAACATAGAAACATAGAATGTTGCGCCAGATAAGAACCATTCGGCCTATCTAGTCTGCCCAATTTTCTAAATACTTTCATTAGACCCTGGCCTTATCTTATAGTTAGGATAGCCTTATGCCTATACCACGCATGCTTAATCTCCTTTACTGTGTTAACATCTACCACTTCAGCTGGAAGGCCATTCCATGCATCCACTACCCTCTCAGTTATTTTTAAACCTTTGTCCCTCTTATTTAAGACTATGTCCTCTTGTTGTGATAGTTTTTCTTCTTTTAAATATAGTCTCCTCCTTTACAGTGTTGATTCCCTTAATGTATTTAGGTTCTTCAGGTTTCATTCTCTGTAACAATAGTAAGACACGTGTCATGGAAGACTTTTCTGAAAGAATATGGCATTTGTAAGGCACTTGTCATGGAAGACTTTTCAGAAAGAATATGTCATTTGTTATTACATCTTATGCTCTATATTTATCTTGCGGTGTCGAGAGGTCTAGGAGTGCACTTTTTCATCCTTGAATTCAAAAGGCCTCCAATAGTTAAAGAATACAATACATTTGATACATTAACACTCACTTTGTATCTCTGGCTGCTGGCTCTGGAACTGGCTCTAGATGCAGCACGGAGGGTGGGAGGACATTTAAAGACATTTATTTATTTTCGTTTCTTATGGCTGAACAAAACTGTGACAAGTTTCTAGGGAAGAGGACCCCAAAGTAAATACAGCTTTCAGAATCCATTTTAATGGATTGTAGGCAGCTTTTAAAATACTTTGGGTTTGATATTTTATGCTCTAAAATGATGCAAACTGCTATGGATGCTTGCCATCAAATAAATTTAAAATAAGATGCTGTAAAGTCACTAGACAATGTTAACTTTTTCTGGGTCCTTTACAGAATACAAGACTGAAACAAGTCTTAAAATTATTACAGTTGTTTTTTAATTCTTATTTTTGTTGTGCATATGTATAGCAAAACAAGCATGCAGTGTCACAACAGCAACAACTTACATTGCAAGAATAAAACATAATATAGCGTGTATAGCATTGAAGAAATTAGCACAATTTTAGGAAAAATATTGATAGAGTAAAAACAGGTCAGGCACATCTTTCTAGTATATGGAGTTTTTGCTCATAATAAGCTGACAATGAAGAGAATTCTTTAGATAGGTATCAAGTTGCTGAGCTACATTATTAAACCGGGTAGAACATCTAGACTAGGCAAAATAGTTTAACAAGCATGATGCACACGAAGGCTAGCAAGGTCTGATGTGAATAATAGTATGGATCTCGAGTGCACTGGCTAAGACTTAAGAGCGTATCATAAGACTGTGAGTTACATAAAGTATGCTATTTTGCAGGTGTTTATCAAGTGGTGAGGGTCAAATTTAAGGTGAGGCATCTATAGCCGGTTTCTAGATTATATATGCTACATTCTTATCAAAAAGAAAGATTAGTGCCCAAGGTGAGAAGAAAATGAAAGTAAATAAAAAAATATATTAAATCAACAAGTGTTACAAAACAAGTAGAACCACTGGAGTCTCGTAGGGTAAGCCCTGATTTCCCCCCGGGCACAGGACCATGAAACTGTTATTGAAGGCTTGCAGACAGGTCATGCTGTTGTGCTGTCCTTAGCTCACTCTTGCCATTGACCTGACATGGTTCAGAGGTGGCATTGTCCCGACATACTGGTGAGTCCGGTGGAATCCACTCAGCCAGCCCTAGGCTTTACTCGGGCCCACATCCTGTGCCCTTGGCTGCAGCTCCACTAGGGGGTCAGCAACAGAGATCTTGGGAAGGGCAGTCTGCTCATATCTGGGCTGTGGTGTGGGGATTGTCCACATTTTTCCACTTCCTGTGATTTTCCATCGCTGCCACGCAACTCCATACCTGGTCCTTTTCGTGCCACAACGCTATTATTTCCTGTTCTAGGCTTGTGAGACGAGCCTCGTGGGCAGTTGTAGTTACTTTGGTGTCATGTTAGCGCATGATCTCTTCCTTAGAGGAGTTAATAGCTGCTGCTATGTTGCAGCGGAGGTCGTCCAGGAGGGCCTTTAGAGCACCCTTCGTTTCCAGTTGGTCCCCAACACACTTTGCAGGTAAGTTATCTCTCCGTCTATAAGGCAGCATGTCCAGCTCTCCCACATCGGCAAGGAAGGCTTCACTGGATGAGTAAGATTGATCATCGGAGAGGGGAGTCATGACAGGCCTCGCGGCACTCTGCGGCCTCAGCAGTAGTTTTCCAATATCGGTGGAAGTCGGTGGTTTATCCGCCTTATATTTGTTATTTTTTTCTCCCCATCGATGTGGTAAGTGTTTCCCTGCACACTGGCGATTAATCACAGTGCTGAAAGGAGCAGTTTTTGGGGTTTATTTTCCCGGTCAGCCCGGAACTCTCTCAGAACGCGTCCGTACAGTATTGCAGCTGACTCCACCCCCCTCCTCTTTGCTGTTTTTACAGAAATAAATTGAAGTCAGTCTGTGATAGCTCGAGAAATGCAATATTTTAGTGTTTTTCCAGGGAGACTTCCTGGAAGAACTTCTCTCAGCCACTTGTTCCATACATGAAAAGCATAGATTTTTGCAAGACGGGGCTTTAGACCCACAGCCTATGCAGCAATTGTTATTTTTCTTTATTCTTCTTGGGTAATGTATCTTGGGAGCATTTTGGGCTAGCAATCACAGAGCCATACACTTATATTGAACTTGCAATGCGCTTTTTTGTCCGACAAATAAAGAAAAATGTCTCACCTTATACTTCTATGCTCTATTCCTGGGAAGGTAGGGTAAGCCTACCTGAAATAAAAGGGATTTGGGGTAGTGCACAGCAAACTCTTTTCTTTAGTTCTTATTGTATATATTGGGGCTGATTTGTGATGCTGTGTTTCGACTACACAACGCCCATGTATCTATGTATCTTCACCCACAGTAAAGTTAGGAAATTAAGATACATAAGAGATAAATGCACAACCTAGTACATCTACCAACTATAGATACTAAGGTCATGCGGCCTGATCCCTATTTCATATACCTGACAAAGATAATATGCAACACCATTATACTGTAGATATGTACTGTATCTTTCTTTTATGCATGTGTGTATCACCGTAAAGCATTTTGTACATTGATACGTGCATACCCTGTATATGTCGATTTGTTATAAAACAAAAAAAATCAAACTAACAAAAAAAACACAAATATTCCAAAACTTTAAAAACGCTCTACTGATTACCATTATTAACACTGCTAAATAACTTTTTTTTTTTTAAACGGAAACACACAGATGGTCCCACTATTTGTGAGTGGTATGTTGCTGTGAATAAAATAGATTTGGAATATCTTATTTATAATTCTAGGAGAACACTGGGGAAACCATACAATATGAGATGGGCAAACTGGAATCTGTACATAAAAAAGTAATATAGCTAGCTGGAACTCTCATAACTCCTTTGTACCAATATTTTTTAAAAAGTTGGCCTTGGAGGGGGGCTGTGGTGGTAAAAGGGTATGTGAGTGTGTTAATGTGGCTTGTCTGGTTTTGGTTTGTCTTGTATTTTCTTAACTGGAAGGGGAAATAGGGGGTGAACAATTAAGGCAATAGGTATCTGAATAGGCGTGCACAGCCTATTGCATTAGGCTGTGCACCCTAAAGTACAAACACACGCAGCGTGTATATGTATGTATGTGTGTATATATATATATATATATATATATATATATATATATATATATATATATATATATATATATATACACACACACACACATACATAAACTGTTGTGTGTGTGTGTGTGCTGTTAGTGTGCTGTGTGAGGGTGCTGTGTGTGTGTGTGTAAGTGTGCTGTATGTGAGGGTGCTGTATGTGTGAGGGTGCTGTTTGTGTGCTGTGTGTGAGGGTGCTGTTATTGTGCTGTGTGTGAGGGTGCTGGTAGTGTGATGTGTGTGTGTGAGGGTGTTTGTGTGTGTGTGTCTGTTAGGATCCTGTTAGTGTGCTGTGTGAAGTGCTTTGTGTGTGAGGGTGCTGTTTGTGTGATGTGTGTGAGGGTGCTGTGTGAGTGAGGGTGCTGTTAGTGTGCTGTGTGTGAGGGTGCTGTTAGTGTGCTGTGTGTGAGGGTGCTGTTTGTGTGTGAGGGTGCTGTTGTGTGCTGTGAGTGTGAGGGTGTTGTTGTGTGCTGTGAGTGTGAGGGTGTTATGTGTGTGTCTTTGTGAGGGTGCTGTTAGTGTGCTGTATGTGAGGGTGCTGTGTGTAAGGGTCCTGTATGTGTGTGTGTGCTGTGTGTGTGAGTGTGCTGTATGTGTGTGTGTGCTGTATGTTTGGAGGTATTGTGGGGCTAAAAGTAGGGGCAGATTAGTAAATACCCCCCCTCCCTTCTTACCTTATGTAGGGATCCTTGCTGCCATGTGCCATCCCTGGTGGTCCAGTGGAGAGTGAACTCTAGCCTGCGGCAATGCTCAGATCTCACGAGAGGAATCCGGCAGAGCTGCTGGCTAGAGCTTCCCGGGTCCTCTCCTGCCTCCCTCCATGCTGCTGTGGGCCCATGGAGCCAATGGAGGCTTAGAGCAGAGCTGGCGTTCGGATAGCGCCGGCTCTGCATGAGCCGACAGGGGAGATCCTGAGATCTCCCCTGCCGGTCTCAATCCATAGGCGTGCTGTGGGAAATAGGGTGTTCCAAGGTACACCCGGCACACCCCGTGCGCACGCCTATGGGTATCAGGTAGAGATGTAATGAGGGGTAAACATATAAAACTGAAGTAGGGGTGATAATGCAGAGATGTATAAGTAGGCGGAGAGGGGGAAAGGTAGGAACATGTGATCAATGAATGCTCTGATGTCTGTTAAACTATGAAGTGAGATAAATTGCTTTTAAAAAAAAGAAAGACTGATGATAATTGGGTGTGTTTTTATTTTCTTCCTCTCTTTCCTTGATATGTTTAAATACCATCAGATGTCTAGTGTTGTATAACATAATTGCCATTTGCCACTTGCAAAGAAATGAAATATAATGCAGAATAAAATAAATAAATAGTGAGGTTTTACAATATCACTCAGCAGCAGTAAGGCAGCTGGAGTTGAAGCTAACTTGTTGCCATATATGGAGTTTTGCAAATCTCACAAAGATGAGGCTGTTGTAATTGTAACACAGAGTGACTGCAGGGTATAAATCAGAGCTAAGCACACAGCAATGACACTCTGAGTGCTGAGCACAAGAGGGTGGCACAGAGGATTTAAGGAGGTAGGAGGGCTGTAATCTACCTGTAATGTGTACCTGGGCTCCTTATAATGAATGGGGATGCATATATAATGGAAGCCATTATTACTTGCTCCACTATAAGACATTTTTAGTGAGTGTTTAATTCAGACGTGGATGCTTTGTGCTGATTCTGAACTAGACAGGTTGCGATTTTCATATTTAAATTTTAGCTTTACTCAATATCTGAACATAATGATTCTTTTCTAATACAGGAGACTACAAATTTACTAATAAACATGTTGAAAGACAGTAGAAATAACATTGACATCAGTCCAAGAAGGTTTTAAAAACCTTTACAAAGAATGCCAGTGACCTGGTACTAGTGCTTGGAACCGGGGTGAGTGCGGCTGTAGCCCCATATGTCCTTGCGCTCCGTTCATGGCAGTGTTGCATTAAAGCTGTTATAGATGTTGCAGACCAGTTTGAGGTATGGCACCCTGGGGACCTTGTGGAATTCAGTAAAAGGGTGCAGCTTGAGCAAGACTTACAAGTTGTCGCAAATGATCTGATCAGGAAACTGTCACCACGAACCGATGACATCAAACCCAGATTTTTCCAAGATTGCCTAATGGAAGTATTTGATGAGCTAGAAAGTCATATTCATAACTCGAGTCTATCAATAGTCTAATGGACAAAGGGGCGATGGTGCTCACTACAAACTATGATAACCTGCTGGAGCTTTATGGGAAGAAGATGGGAAAACCCATGGAATCGATAAACCTAAATGATAATGTGAAGGTTTTGCAATGGGTACAAAGCCGCATCAAGTATGGTGTTTTGCATATCAACGGACTGTACACGGATCCCCGTGCCATGATTCTGGATCCATGTGGAAATAAAGATGTTGCACAGGACTCTGAACTGCTGGATGAGCTTCAGAACTTGTACTGAATTATTTTTTTTTGGCTGTGGAGGAGAGGGGTTGGCTACCTCTTCCTCCTGGTACTCCTGCTGCCGCTGGGGAGCCGGCTGCCTAGTATCCCTGTAGGGCCGGTGGAGAGACCTCGATCCCATCTCCACCTGTCGTTTGGGGGTCCTCCAAGGACCAGTCTGTGAGATCCCCCAGGACTTGGGAATAAGGACCACCTGCCTCCTCTCTCTGTAGCTCTGGCTGCAACTGGGGATCTGGGCCGGCTGCCCAGCAACCCTGTAGGGCCGTTAGAGAGACCTCGGTCCCATCTCCACCAGCCTGTTGGGGGTCCTCCCCGGACCAGGACCAGTACCTCTGGTTGCTGCTGGGGAAGGAGACTGGTTGTCTCTTCCCTCTGCACGGTGCACTGCCGCTGGGGAGGGAGACCGGTTGTCCCCAGACCCAGTCTCCACAATCTGAACTCATATTCCTGTGCTGCTTGGTTCTCCTCATCCAACTCTTGCATGATACGGACGATCACCTCTTCCGAAGGGTCAAGGCCATACTCGACTAGCCGCCTCTTTACCTCTGTGATGTAAGCGTCGCCCTCATAGCAATAGGTCATGTTTGCTTGGCCCCACTCTGGGCCACTAGCACTCCGATCTGCGCCTTGGATTCCGCTGTAGACAGGGGTGCTGCACAAGTGCTAGCTTTGCCCTCACATGTAGCTCTGTAACGTTACCAGTGTCTCCAAGCTGCTTTTCCTCACACTAGGACGCCATCCCACTTCTGCCACCAAATGTGACGGACCAGCTGGCACTCCGACCGAGTACCTCCGCCAATCAATGCTCCTAGTGCTTGACGAGGACTCCAAGCACTCCAACCGACACCATCAGCACTGCAGACTTATCCCATCCCCAAGCATGAGCCCAGACTTCAAGAAAGGGTCAGCAGGTCTGTTTAATGAGCACACAAAAGCAACAGCACTCATGCAGCAAAACAACTCCTCCTCAGAGGAAAACAAAATGACAGTTATTGGAAGTTGCAGAACTATGCCAGTACCATTTAAAGGGCCAGAACAGTCTTTTAAAACACCAATAAGTCCAAATGGTGTTTCTAACTGGCAAAATCTCCTAGGGACTATAGTCATACGGCAAGAGGCTGGTAATTAGTCCTCTCCAGGCACAAGTGGCGAAGGGCACTTCGTCACACGAGTTACTTAGATTTTTTGAGGACTGAATGAGTAGTGGCAAATGTTTATGCTCTGTATCTCTATGGGAATAACATCTCTGTATCTCTATGGGAATAACATAAACCACTTTCAGAAACAAATATCCATACACTGACATTACAGGTTACTGAGCAGAAAGAACACTGAGCCTTGTCTACCTCGGGAAGACATTTTTTTCCAGCTTTGTACATTTATCTTCTATGTATAAAAATACTATGGAATAAATGGGTAACATGTGAAAGTAAAACATGTCACATGGGTGCTTACTTCTAAGGCACACTTTGGTTTAAATCCTTTCAGTTGACAATATGCCCATGTACACAGTGTCATATATAAATATTTCTGTGTTATACAGCTTTCATAGATAGATTTGGTCAGGATGTGTGATCTTCAGAGATAAATTAGCTCTCTTGTTGCATGGGCCTTGTGTTTATTTTTCCATTTGAGTTCCCTTTTCCCCAAACCATTCAAATCCCGCATGCAGTTCTTCAGGTTTCCTTCTCTGTAACAATAGTAAGGCATGTACCAATACTTTTTAAAAAGTTGGCCTTGGAGGGGGTCCGTGGTGGCAAAATGGTATTTGAGTGTGTTAATGTGGCTTGTCTGGTTTTGGTTTGTCTTGTATTTTCTTAATTGGAACGAGAAATAGGGGGTGAACAATTAAGGCAATAGGTATCTGCATAGGCGTGCGCAGCCTATTGCATTAGGGTGTGCACCCTAAAGCACAAACACATGCCGCGTGTATTTGTATGTATATATACATATATATATATATATATATATATACACATACATACATACACTGTTGTGTGTGTGTGCTGTTAGTATGCTGTGAGAGGGTGCTGTTAGTGTGATGTGTGTGTGAGGGTGCTGGTAGTGTGCTGTGTGTGAGGGTGCTGTTTGTGTGCTGTGTGAGGGTGCTGGTTGTGTGCTGTGTGTGTGTGAGGGTGTTTGTGTGTGTGTGTGTGTGTGTGTGTGTGTTTGCTAGGGTCCTGTTAGTGTGCTGTGTGAAGTGCTGTGCTGTGTTAGGGTACTGTTTGTGTGATGTGTGTGTGAGGGTGCTGTGTGAGGGAGGGTGCTGTTTGTGTGCTGTGTGTGGGTGTCGTGTGTTTGTGAGGGTGCTGTTAGTGTGCTGTGTGTGAGGGTGCTGTTTGTGTCTGAGGGTGCTGGTGTGTGCTGTGTGTGTGAGGGTGCTGTGTGTGTGTGTGTTTGTGAGGGTGCTGTTTGTGTGCTGTGTGTGAGAGTGCTGTATGTTTGTAAGGGTGCTGTGTGTGTAAGGGTGCTGTATGTGTGTGTGCTGTATGTTTGGAGGTATTGTGGTGGTTGAGGTGGGGGCAGATTAGTAAATATCCCCCCTCCCTTTTTACCTTATGTAGGGAGGGGGGATCCTTGCTGCCATCTGCCATCCCTGGTGGTCCAGTGGAGAGTGAACTCTAGCCTGCGGCAATGCTCAGATCTCACGAGAGGAACCCGGCAGAGCTGCTGGCTAGAGCTTCCTGGGTCCTTTCCTGCCTCCCTCCATGCTGCTGTGGGCCGGTGAGGGAGATCTTTGATCTCCCCACCGGCCCATGGAGGCTTTGAGCAGAGCCGGTGCTCAGATAGCGCCGGCTCTGCATGAGCCAACTGCCGGTCCCAATCCATAGGCAAGCTGCGGAAATTAGGGTGTGCCCAGGTACACCCGGCACACCCCGTGCGCACGCCTATGGGTATCTGGTAGAGATGTAATGAGGGGTAAACATATAAAACTGAAGGAGGGGTGATAACAATGCAGAGATGTAAAAGTAGGCGGAGAGGGGGAAACGTAGGAACATGTGATCAATGAACGCTCTGATGTCTGTTAAACCATGAAGTGAGATAAATTGCTTTTTTTTAAAAGAAAGACTGATGATAATTGGGTGTGTTTTTTTTCTTCCTCTCTTTCCTTAATATGTTTAAATACCATCAGACGTCTAGTGTTGTATAACATAATTGCCATTTGCCACTTGCAAAGAAAGTAAATATAATGCAGAATAAAATAAATAAATAGTGAGGTTTTACAATATCACTCAGCAGCAGTAAGGCAGCTGAAGTTGAAGCTAACCTGTTGCCATATATGGAGTTTTGCAAATCTCACAAAGATGAGGCTGCTGTAATTGTGACACAGAGTGACTGCAGAGTATAAATGAGAGCTAAGCACACATCAATGACACTGAGTGCTGAGCACAAGAGGATGACACAGAGGATTTAAGGAGGTAGGAGGGCTGTAATCTACCTGTAATGTGTACCTGGGCTCCTTATAATGAATGGGGATGCATATATAATGGAAGCCATTATTACTTGCTCCACTATAAGACATTTTTAGTGTGTGTCTCATTCAGACGTGGGTGCTCTGTGCTGATTCTGAACTAGACAGTTTTCATATGATTTTCATATTTAAATTTTAGCTTTACTCAATATCTGAACATAATGATTCTTTTCTAATACAGGAGACTACACATTTACTAATAGACATGTTGAAAGACAGTAGAAATAACATTGACATCAGTCCAAGAAGGTTTTAAAAACCTTTACAAAGAAGAATGCCAGTGACCTGGTACTAGTGCTTGGAACCGGGGTGAGCACGGCTGTAGCCCCAGATGTCCCTGCACTCTGCTCATGGCAGTGTTGCATTGAAGGTGTTATAGATGTTGCAGACCAGTTTGAGGTATTGCACCCTGGGGACGTTGTGGAATTCAGAATAGGGTGCAGCTTGAGCAAGACTTACAAGTTGTCGCAAATGATATGATCAGGAAACAGTCACCACGAACCGGTGACATCAAACCCTTTTTTTTCCAAGATTGCCTAATGGAAGTATTTGATGAGCTAGAAAGTCATATTCAGAACCCCACCGTTCGCAAGTCTATCATTAGTCTAATGGACAAAGGGGCGATGGTGCTCACTACAAACTATGATAACCTGCTGGAACTTTATGGGCAGAAGATGAGCAAACCCATGGAATCGATAAACCTGAATGATAATGTGAAGGTTTTGCAGTGGGTACAAAGCCGCATCAAGTATGGTGTTTGCATATGCACGGATTGTACACGGATCCCTGTGCCATAATTCTGGATCCATGTGCAACTGCTGGATGAGCTTCAGAACTTCAGAACTTGTACTGCAAAAAATCTTTTGTTTTTCTTGGCTGTGGAGAGACTCTGCGGGATCCGATATTCCAATCTCTTTTCTTCTACACTGTGCAGAATAAAGTCAGTATGGAACATTACATGCTAGTATGTAAGGAGAATACAGAAACCTTCCATAAGCTTCAGGCCGATATGCTGCTTATTGGCATCAAACTTTTATCATATGGAGAGTCATTCACTAACTTTCCAACATATATGAAAGGGTTGTCTGCACTCATAGGCAAACAGAGGGATGACAATATCGCACATGTGGAAATTTAAATCATCTGTGAGCCAGTTGCTAACACCTCACCAACTCCCCAAAAGAGGAAGCTTGAAGAAAACACAGGAAGTGGGAAAGGAGCTAGGTCCTAAAATAAGAGAATCTGGACACTTATTACTAAATCAATAAAGGGCTCTGAGTTCTTAAATAACTGTGTCCAACCAAAGTGTCATTTTGTACCAAACGTAATGAATGTGATTATGAGTTATTTAGATTTTTTGAGGACTGGATGAGTAGTGGCAAATGTTTATGCTCTGTATCTCTATGGGAATAACATAAACCACTTTCAGAAACAAATATCCATACACTGACATTACAGGTTACTGAGCAGAAAGAACACTGAGCCGTGTCTACCTCGGGAAGACATTTTTTTCCAGCTTTGTACATTTATTTTCTAGATATAAAAATACAATGGAATAAATGGGTAACATGTGAAAGTAAAACATGTCATATGGGTGCTTACTTCTAAGGCACCCTTTGGTTTAAATCCTTTCAGTTGACAATATGCCCATGTACACAGTGTCATTTATAAATATTTCTGTGTTATATAGCTTTCATAGATAGATTTGGTCATGTGTTCCCTTCTCCCCAAAACATTCAAATCCCACATGCAGTTCTTCAGGTTTCCTTCTCTGTAACAATAATAAGGCACGTGTCATGGAAGTGGTGGGGCAGACTTTTCAGAAAGAATATGTCATTTGTTATTACATCTTATGCTCTATATTTATCTTGCGGTGTCGAGATGTCTAGGAGTGCATTTTTTCATCCTTGAAGTCAAAAGGCCTCCAATATATAAATAGTACAATAACTTTGATACTTTAACACTCAATTTGTATCCCTGGCTGCTGGTTCTGGAACAGGCTCTAGATGCAGCACGGAGGGTGGGAGGATAGTTAAAGACATTTATTTATTTTTGTTTCTTACGCTGAACAAAACTGTGACAAGTTTCTAGGGAAGGGGACCCCAAAGGAAATACATCTATCAGAATCCATTTGAATGGACTGTAAGCAGCTTTTTTAAAAATGTTGATTTTTATATTTTATGTTCTAAAATGATGCAAACTGCTATGGATGCTTGCCATCAAACACATTTAAAATGGGATGCTGTAAATTCACCGAACAATGGTAACTTTTTCTGGGTCCTTTACAGAGCACAGGACTGAAACAAGTCTTAAAATCAAGCCACTTTAGAGAATCATCAAAAATAAAAAAAATAAAAGACACTTTTGCAACAGTTTAAAAAATGCTTACATCTGCTTAATGCAAATGTCTTTGTCGTATAATAAAGGTTAAATGTGATTATCTTGCAAAAAAAAAATCATGCATGGCAAAAGAGTCAAAAAGGCTTTAATCACAAATGTGCATCTCATCTCAAGATGTCTTGGTCCTTAAAGGGACACTCCAGGCAGCCCTTTTTACTCACCTCGTTCCAGCGCCGGGAGCCTTGTGAAGCTGCGCCCCCTATTTTGTCAAAATGACGAAATAGGCAGGTGCGAGCAGTGAGCAATCATACGCTTCCATTCGGAAGCGTCATTGCTCCCTTGTGCGCATGCGCGACTTTGCTGCACATGCGCACATAATTCATAGGGCGGTATTCATGCTGCCCTATGAAGTCCTGAGGGCTCTACCACGCATGCGCGCTTTGTGCGCGCCCGCGAGCTGAGCTGACTTACAGCTCAGCTCGCTGTTTTGCTGGCCCCCTCTCCTCTGCTGACAGGCAGGAGAGAGAAGGTGCGCTCACACCTGGTGTGTCCTATGCCCTAAGGTGAGCCCTATGCCCTAAGGTGCGCCCTATGAAGTCCTGAGGGCTGTACCACGCATGCGCGCTGTGTGCGCGCCCGCAAGCTGAGCTGACTTACAGCTCAGCTCGTTGTCTTGCCCGCCCCCTCTCCTCTGCTGACGGGCAGGAGAGAGAAGGTGTGCACACAGTGCCTTCTCTCTCCTTCACACGTCAGACGTATTTTAATACGTCTGACGTGTACATGGCCTTTTTAGGGCCATACAGGATAGGAAGTCCCTCTGGTGGCCGTCTGAGTGACGGCGGTATTCCTATCAATCAATGTAAACTCTGTATTTTCTCTGAAAATACAGTCTTTACATTAGATTGCCTGCAGGGAGCTATAGATCTCACCTGAATAACTACATTAAGATGTAGTTGTTCAGGTGACTATAGTGTCCCTTTAAGGGTTTACGTACCTGATTAATATAATTTTGGTTTGCTCTGATTGTGTCTTAATCGATTTTATTTATTTATTTCCAATTTGACAATTTTTTTTTTTTTATTGTTTTCGGTTGGAATACAGAAAAGAAAGGAATGGGGAAAAATCATACATCCAAAGCATTTCTTCTGCATGACAATGGCTTGGGGTTTGCATAATACATAGAATAGGACAAATATACAAGTGTACCATCGGTAACATAGAATTAAACTTAAGTCATACAATTTCAGCATCTAAACCATATTACTGTGAGAACATGTCTGGAACATTGTGTCTAGTATTTTAGAGCTGTGGGGAAAGTAAGACAACCCACATGGTGGTGCATTCGTTAAATATGTAGTATGTTTTGACTTTCTAGGTCAACATAATAATATAAGCAATGGTAAAGAATTGAAACATAAGAATTAGGTCAACTCGTACATAAATAATGGTGACCTGTAGAATTCTACAATTCATCCAAGTCTATATGAAAGTCTGCAGGTGTTAGCTTCCTTCAGGTGTAAATTAGGGTGAAGCTTAAGTTGTGAAATGGGTGCGTGTGGGGGGAGGGGTGTGGAAAGTTCCAGCATGCTGTGTTAGGGATCGGGAAGTGGTTCATGCTTCAATATTGAAATGTCTGTATATTACTAAAGAATTGAAGTTTCTTAAATTGATTACCCTCATAAAGCTTTTAATGAGTTTCCAAGACACAGATCTGGTGTACTCTCTGCCAAGTCTACATATTTTGATCTCATGAAAGGAGCAATCCATGTTGAGCTTATCATTCATTGAGGAAGAAGGACGTCTTCCATCTTGGCGTAAAAACGCACTTTTATCTTCTGCTACTTTTTGGTTTCCCTCATCCAATATTTTCCCGAAAAGTTTATCCTCTTGGAAGGGCATGTCACAAAGACTTGCTTTAGAAGCATAATCTACATCCCATGAATGTGGCCACAAGGCTCTTCTAGTGGCTACTGAAAGAGCTATACCTGTAGCCATGATCTTGGTAAAGTCCAGTGAGGCTTCTGCACACCAACCACATTTCTTTTAGTGAGTGTAAAACATTTTCTCTTTTTACTCCACTTTCGATATCTTCTTCCAAGTTACCAATTCATACTTTTAGGGCTCTTGTAACAGTATTCATAGCCCCTGCCTGGCTGGATAAGTTTTTACCATGCTGGAGTTTTGTCACTTCTCCATAAGTTCTCTTAGGTAAGCCATAGTGTCTACGGGCAGTGTGGTCTTTTTTGTCAGTCTTATACCTGCAGCTTCTATTTCCAGTTTTTACATTTTTATTAAAAGGATAGACTCTTGGCAAATTACCCCTGAAGGGACAATCTTTTTTCTGGTTTGGACGGTTCATTGAGACTTGGAACCATGTAGAGAAAACAATGGTTTGTTGGATTTTTAGGTCCTCAAAAATTATGTCAGAGACTTTTATCTCAACTGATCTGGGGACAATAGATTGTTTAAAATTTTCAATTTCCTCTTCATCTTCTGACAAATATTCTTGTAAGACATCTTGGTCTTAGCTAAATTAGCTAGACACATCCATAGGTCCGTGTCTCTTTGCTGTTTTGGCAAAAATACATTTAAGTCATTCTGTGATAGCTTGAGAAATCCAATATTTTAGTGTTTTTCTGGGGAAACTTCCTGGAAGAACTTCTCTCAACCACTTCTTCCATACATTAGAAACATAGATTTTTGCAAGATGGGACTTTAGACCTACAGCCTATGCAACAGTTAGTTTACAACTGTTTCTTCTTTGGTAATGTATCTTGGGAGCATTATGGGCTAAAATCACAGAACCATATACTTAGACTGAACTTGCAAGGCACTATTTTTGTCCCATAAATTAAGAAAAATGTCTCACCTTATACTTCTATGCTCTATCCCTGAAATAAAAGGGATTTGGGGTAGTGCACAGGTAATTCTTTTCTTTGGTTTTTATTGTATGTTTTGGGGCTGATATGTACTATGGTCATTGCTGCCACACAGGAATAGTTAGAGTTTGTGCAAATGACTTATTTTTGTATATTTGTGTTTGTTTTTAAATTACACAGCCATGTTACAATGCTGCCGCCTAACCTATCTGTTCCCTATTAAGGGGACACTATAGGCACCCCATACCACTTCAGCTTATTGAAGTGGTCTAGGTGCAGTGCCCCTTTTCCAATTAGTGATGCAATGTTAAACATTGCAGTTACAGAGAAACTGCAATGTTTACATTGCAACTCTAAGTCTGCCTTAAGTGAAACAAAAAAACTCCATTTGTCTAAATATGCATAGGGATTTAGGGGTAGTGCACAGGTAACTCTTTCAGAGATTTACATTTATTTACATAGAAACATAGAATGTGATGGCAGATAACAACCATTTGGCCCATCTAGTCTGCCCAATTTTCTAAATACTTCCATTAGTGCCTGGCCTTATCTTATAGTTGAGATAGCCTTATGCCCAT